AGTCTGACTCCTGACCAGTGCTAAACTTCAGGTGGAGTCCCGCCTCGTTACAGGAAGCAGCTCACCTGAGTGTCCGTGTTTAGTGTTCAGGTGTGGAGTGGGGCTTGTTGTTGGTGTGTGTGTTCGAAGAAACTGTAAGTTTGCTTTGTTTCCTCCTTTAACAGTTTGTCCTTAGGAACTTTACTGTTTGTTCAGCTCATGTTTGATTTCTTCACACAACAAACTGTGTGGTTTTTTTTGTCTGGTCTCTCCATTAAAGTCAGTATGTAATGTTTTCCTGGCTAAAATCAGCTGTGTGAAGCTTAGTTTCAGCACTAATCTGCATCATTGCTTGTGTGATATCAGAGCAGCAGCAGAGTTAGTTAATGGTCAGCAGCTGAACTGAAGAGTTGTTGTTACTGCGGATCGACATCCTGGTGTGCCACACAAACGTTTGCGTCTAATGCCCGGGACTCAGTCACGTGACTCGGAGACTGCCTGCGATTTTTGGCCCATTTTGAGCCGTTTTTAGAGTCGTGCGACCGCTTTGGTGATCGGCCCGAGCTTGGCCTTCATCGTGCGTCGTGCATCGTGTAGTATACATGGGTAACGAGAAGCGATTAACACCTCACGACCAGCTCCCGATCATCAATCGCTTGGTCGGGAGGATTTCAAACCTGTTTGAAAGAATTTCAAACCTGTTTTCAAACCTGTTTGAAAGAATTTCAAACCTGTTTTCAAACCTGTTTGAAAAAATTTCAAACCTGTTTGAAAGGATTCGAGCCGTTCCGATGTGGCCTCACAAAATTCTTACAACCACAACAACCGTGAAAATAGTTGGATCTACATTGCTGCTCAATCACAGCTGCCTGATCAATGTTTTTCACTAGCAATTTAGCAAAGTTGATGGTGGTGGTGGTGTGCGTGTCTGTGTGAGTGAAAGACAGAAAGGGAGAGCGAGCGACAGAATTTCTGTTATAACCTTCATTTTATGGACGCACAGTGTGAGCACTCAGGTCGCATCAGAGCATTGGTGGTATAGTGTGAGACCCTGAATCGTGACCTACGAACTTCTAACCCCTGCAAGTCAATCGTGCAGTTTGAGCACGAGCTGAATCGCGCGACTGAAAAAATCGCACAGTGTCTGTCCAGCATTAGAGAGCAAAGTTAAACCGGGGGCAAATCTAAAGGTTCAGCGTTTTAGGGGTCTGAGACCTCGGTCATACTGTCATGCTTACAGTGCATTACAATTAATATTAATAGAATATTCTACTTGTAGTCAACTCTTTTCACATTTGCAAACCTCATTTCAGTTAAATAACAATTTGTGAGGAGAAAAAGAAACGTGCACAACATTGTTTCTGTCTTTTAAACACATTGATGATTTGTTCAAACACCTCTATCACATTTTTCAATAAAAGTGAAACCACTCTGCCACTCCTCACTCCTAGATAGGAAATAACTTGTAACAGCTGCTTTACCAATTCACACAAACCCTTCTTTTATTGTGCAGACGCAGTACAGAGCATCGCCATGTATCCCAACTCCAAGAGTGGAGAATAGATTTGTAGTCTGTCAAATTAATATAACATCAGCCATCCTGTTTACACCATGTTTAGAGGAAACTCCACAGAAAGGTAAAAAACTATTGTTTTTCCACTTCATTTCACTATCTTCCCATTTACCCATCTGTTTTTTTTTTTTCAGCTCTTGTGCAATCCCTCACTCCCCTCCTCTGCACTGACAGTCACAACACCCTGTTTTAGACTACAAGATAACCAAATAATACATTTGATCATTATTATTATTATAAGAGCAGGTTGGGGATCCGTATTTGATATCAGTATAACGCACTGCAGACATGTGAATCATCATCAATGACATACATGTCCACTCTTACCTGTTTATTTCTTTCTCCCTCTCTTTGCTGTTTTCATCATGCTCTCTCTCCCTTTCTCGCCCTTTGCATCAGCTCCTTGGTTGGCAAAAATGACCTTATAATCTCTAGTGATCTAGCCTACGTTAGCTAACGTTTTTGACATTTAGAGAACAAATAAAAATAACCAGACACTTTATGAACAACAACAATGTCCCAGCATTATCAGAACAGTTGTTGCTATATTTTAGTTAAATTGTCTTTTAAATCTGCTCCAGTGGTTTGAAATGACCTCTGCAGCTTCTTTCTGCTCTTTCCATTAATGTCAAACCTGCAGCCTCTGTGTGATGTCATGATGTCAAAGTGTGTGAGCACACAGTGGCATCATGACATCAACAACACTGGATAGATTTAAGTCTTCTGTCTCCAGGAGAGGAGTTGGTAGGATAAATCATTAGAAGACGAAAACAAAAATACATAATTATTACTGTTATTACTACACTTTTTTTATGGGTGCTGTGATGAAATGTAGAGGTGTTTGAGCACTCCTAAAAACTGGCCTGTGTGTTGAACTTCACTCAAGCCATTTAAAGCTGATGACCCATCACTAACAAATTTTCTTTAAACAGATGAAATATGATTTTAAGACATTTCAAACATGTAAATGCATTTAAAAAAAGGTCTGACAGTAAAGTACCGTCATTGTGACTGATATGATAACAGTGAGAGTCCAGATGTTACAGATGTCATCATGTCTGTTTGTATTTCAATGTGAAACAGGAATTTTGCAACACGCAGATATGAAACTAGACATTTTTATAGTTTATATAGAATATAAAACCATTTTAATATTATAAAAAATGTCTTAAAGAAGATGGAAGTAACCAAACTGATAAATAATCAGTATGTTTACAGTTTTCTGCAAACTCAGCAGGAATAATTAGTGTGAAGTTTTTAACTCTGCTGATCCTCTTTGAATCATGGATCAGCGGAAATGCTTAAAAATGTTTTTCAGACGTGTTGAATTGACTGAATATTAATAGACTGAAGCTTCCAGTCACAGTGAATCAGTGTGTGTCAGTGAATGCATCGTGTGTGCTTCATGGCTCCATCTAGTAGACTGATAGTAGAAGTAGATCAGCTGATGGCAGCTTCCTCTACCTCACACTGCTGTCTGACTGCATTCAGTTGACACTGAGATGAAGCAGAAAAGAAGCAGCTGATATTTGGACAACACGCATGATGGAAAGGAGGATTTCAGTTGATGTGCGTATGAATGATTTGTATTTCCTTTGCAGGTGAAGGTAGAAAGTGTGTGTGAGCTGATGTGGATGTGAATTCAGCAGCATGGATCAGTGTGAGGACAGAGAGGAGGGAGTCACCACTCTGTGTGGGGAACACGAGAGCCAGACCAAAGCTCAGAGGTGAGATGATCATCTGTCCATGACTCTTCTCCATGTCAAAGCTCAGCACTCACATCACTGCTCCATCATTATTCACAGGAACCAACCTGGACATAAACCTGAAACTGAACTTGGACCTGAACCTGCTTCTGGTTCAGATTCAGGTTCAAGCTGTGTGTCCTTAAAGAGTGACTAGCATAAAGATGAGCCAGTTGACTTTAAAGTCAGGGAGGCGTCTGCTGCAGAGAGGTGAGCTGTTGTAGTTGAGCTCATTTAACTGCTTGATGTTGTTGGATATAAACTGCAGGCAAACACATCATTCCCTCGATCCCATTTAAACTGTCTCCTTTAAAAAAACAAGCCTTTGGTTTCTAAACACCTGAGCCAACAGGAAGTGATCAGTGACGGCAGGTGTGTACATTTGTTTGGACTGTAGCTCACTCTGATTGGTTCTCTCCAGTTTCCTTGCCACATTCTTCCATGTCACAGCTCAGCACTCACATCACTGCTGAGCTTTTTTCTGAACTTTGCTTGATTTGACCTTTTAAAGTTCAGGGATCTGTTTGTCTGCTGTGGACAGTTTTATTAACAGAGTCTCAAATCAGGCTGTTTATTCTCCAGTTATAATTTGTGACTCAAGCACATTTGTATCTTTTTACAAACTGCTGCAGCATAAAACTCTGCACTCTAATAGCTGAGCTAAAGGAAATGCAGGAGAAGAAGACAAAACATTTTTAATATTGACTTTCATTTAAAAAATGAATTTTAAAAAGCTTTTTATATTTTTTTTTCTCTCTCTTAGCTTTGGCAGGATGAGCTTTCCGTATATACTGGCCTCTAAATATTTTCCTCGACCGAGGTAAGGTGTGTGTAAATGGTGTTGGTGACTCTGTGTTTGTGAATAGATCCTCCATCATGTTTTATGTCAGCTCAGCTCTTTTTCACACACATTTCTATGTGTGTGAAAAATGTGAAGTGGTGTGTTGGAGTTGTAGTGCCTCTAATCAGACCCAGTGCAATATCATTTTCTATACAGACCCTAAACATCTAGCTAGGTTTGAGAGGAGGTTTCATGAATGTTGATAAAGACTGTTTTTGATGGAAAGTAACACAATGGCTCCTTTTAACAACCAAAATAACTTCATTCACAATGAAAAAATACTTTAAATCCTGACATAGGCTGGTTTAAGTAATACAGAATTATTTTAATGTAAATGGAACACGTGCCTGTATTTAAATTCTTTCCCCATCTTTCCTCTTACTTAGCCGATTAGGCTAACTGAACAAAGCAGCTAGCATCAAGCCCAGCGTCACGAGGGACATTGGTTCAATTACACCCAGTGACACACATCCAGTTCAACTTTACAAATTGTTGCAGAATGTTAGAATCTTTTGGGTGATGCTGTTGTTTTTCTCTTTGTTTATGGATTTTCCTGTTAGGTTTTATTCAATTATTTGAATTTTAAAATACATTTAAGAAAATATTTAACAGTTGTTTTCTCTCTCTTAACTTCAATTTCAGCAACCCTCTGAACATACTGGAAGAAAAAAAATTAAAATCTAAACTGAGGTGTGTGTAAATGTTGTTGGTGACTCTGTGGCTGTTAATAGATCCTCCATCATGTTTAATGTCAGCTGCAGGAGAACAACGCAAAACATTTTTAATATTGACTTTAAACAAAGACATTTGTCTGGTACAGAGAGAGTCACTCAGTATTTAATCTGAGTTCTGTTTTAAAAGAATCTATTATCAGGTAAATTGGTTGGTCAGGTTAAATGTTGTTGGTGACTCAGTGTCTGTGAAGAAATCCTCCATAGTGTTTAATGTCAGCTCAGCTCTTTTTCACACACATTTCCATGTTGATATGTGAAGCGGTGTGTTGGAGTTGTAGTGCCTCTAATCAGGCCCAGTGCAATATCATTTTCATCCATTTTAAAAATATGGATTTAAACAAGAGTTTTTTTTCTCTCTCCTACCTTCAATTTCAGTGACCCTTGGAGTTTGCTCTCAGGATCACTAACTGCACTGAGGTAATGTGTGTGTAAATGTTGTTGGTGACTCAGTGTCTGTGAAGAAATCCTCCATCATGTTTAATGTCAGCTCAGCTCTTTTCACACAGATGTCTATGTTCATATGTGAAGCGGTGTGTGTTGGAGTGTTTCCACAAACACAGCAGTCAGAGTGTAAAGAACAGATGTTGTAGGAGGTGTTTCTGTAGTGTAGAGGCTGAGTGTCTGTAGGACTCCAGCTGTTCCAGCATGTGTCTCCTTTGTGCTTTGCTTCAAACACATTGTAGGGAGGAACATCCAGTCAGGTGTTTCAGGTGTTGCTGGATGGAGGAGGACAAACAGTTTAGTGAGCACTGCTTTGATGTCCTGCTGACAAGTTTGTCTTCATGGAGGTTTCTGGATTCTTGCAGTGATAAAAATGAAGAACATGGACTGTGAGCTCTGACCTTTCCATGTAAAGAAGTTTGGACTTTGATTTGTGCTGTTGTGGAGCGAGCACCTCATTGGCTTTAAGCTGAAGCTCAGCTGTTCCTCATGGGTTTGTCTGCTCTAACAGAGCACAGCTAACTTATCAGCTCCAGCAGAACCTGCAAAGATCTCCAAGGACCAGAGTTTTCCATCATTAGGATCAGTATTACCATCACCTGCCCAAGATGTAGCACTGCTGATTCTATATTTAAAATATTGTGCTCTTTACGGCAGAATCCTTTGAGATTTTGATCTTTACAAATTGTATATAAATACTTCCTAATCTTAAGTAAAAATGAAGTAAAAGTAGATTGTGCTTTCCCCAAAAAAGTGACTAACTTAATATAAAAACCATCTTTACTGCTTGTATTTATTCAGGTTTTCTCCTTGTGCATTTAATAAAATATTATAAAATGTAGGAGTATTTTAAAAGAATAAAGTTCATTATGCAGTCTGATTTTTGTAGGGCTGGCTTTATTCTGGACGAGACATTGATACAAATACATTGTGTTTAGTGGCCGTAACACTCTCTGTCTTGACAGTCACCACTCATAGTTTATCAGTTACTGTGAGCCCTGATTTACAACATTTCAGTGCAAATGACTAGTCAAGTCTTTGGGCACATTTTGTATTCATTATTTGGTAAATTTAGCATTATGATGTATTTTTGACTTGGAGCTTTAAAACAAAGCTGAAACACTTCTTGTCCCTTTTTCAAGAACTAGGCACAGACTAGTAACTCTTCTGGTTACAGATCACACTTCTTATGAACTCACTGCAGTCAGATTGGGTAGAATTGAGCCATGGCTGTGTGGATTTTTAACAGTCTCTAACTGGTAGAAAAACCCAGATCTTTTTAAGCCCAGCTAAGAAGATCACCAGAAGAAATTGAGAAAAGCGATACATATTATGAGAAAAATCATGAAATAATTATCAGGTAAGTTTAGGAAAAGCAACACGGGAAACAAGAAACATTCCAAATGACATCATCTTAAGTGACCATATTTACTACATTTACACTGATACATGGATCTAATTTTGAAATACATGAAATTAGTTCCTGCAAGCTTTATTTTTCCCCCTCTGTAAGACCTGATTGTGCTACTGATCCAGATAATGATGTTGTCATGGATCCATTTCTGTGTGGGGGTTTCTCAGCATTTCACAGTGGTGCTGGTCTCCATGGTGACCAGTCAGAGCACTGATTTATAAAGAAATCTAGTTTTAAAGCATAAAAAAGTAAAGAAGTATCCAGATTACTGTTAGTATCACACTTATCACAGCAATGTGTCTGATCTTAAGTCAGTTATTCTCTGGATAAATGTGACAGAGTATATATAAACATGTTTGTGTGACACAGAGTGAGTCATTCTCAGAGTTTAATCAGGGCTGGATCTTATTTTAGAGGATAAATCTGCATGCCTGAATCATCTACAGCAGCGGTCCCCAACCCCCGGGCCTCGGACCGGTCCGTGAGTTGTTTGGTACCGGGCCGCGAGAGTTGAGGCTCAGGTGTGAAATGTATGGTTTTCAGGGTTTTTATCGGTTTTCAGCGTTATTTTGTTATCGTTTTTAT